TTAATCTCATGCTGTTACTAAGAACATGATGTTCAACCTCACCTCAGCTCATTTGTTCCCTATTCCAAAAACCCAACTAGTGCTCATTCGTTTATTTTTTTAAACAAACATTTATTGAGCTCTTATTATTTACCAGGCTCTGAACTAGGCTCTGAGATAAAATGGTAGCAAAAACAGCCAAGGTTCCTGCCCTCATAGAATTTACCCTCTGTTGGGGAAACAGATAGCGATTTTAAAATATTACACATATAAAATGTAATTGAGACAATGGTGTTTTGAGAGACTAATCGGGAAATTTAATTAGGGAGGGAATCCCTGAAGAAGTGAACTTTAAGCTGAAATCTAAAGAATAAGTAAGCATTAAGCAGGTGAGGAGGTAAGGAAGTGTTCCAAGCAGAAGGACCAACTCGTGCAAGTATCTGGGAAGTACTGAAAAAAGGTTAATGAAGCTGCAGAAGAGACAGACCACCTAGGAGGACACAATTGAAATGAAGTGGGGCAAATGAAGTAAGGGCCCAATCATGCAGGGAGGGCCATGTAGAGTGTCAAAAACTTTAGTTTTATACGACAAATTCCTTTTAAATAGCAAGGGAAAGGAAGTAATGAACACTGCTTCATGGTTTTGTCATTTCACTTTACATTAGTATTTGGCATGATATTTATTTCTCTTTTTGTTTTGTTGTATTTATCGCCTAAGGAGCCCTTGTGGCACAATGGTTAAGCACTCGGCTGCTAATCTGAAGGTTGGCGGTTCAAACCCGCCCAGCAGCTCTATGGGAGAAAGACCTGGCAATCTGCTCCCATAAAGATTAAACCGAAACCCATTGTGGTGAGTCGATTCTGACCTAGAAAACCCTATGGGGCAGTTTTACTCTGTCATGTAGGGTTGCTATGAGTTGAAATTGACTCCACAGCACCTAACAACAAAAACACAATTTATCTCCTACTTGTTTGTATTGTTTATAAAGTGTTAATCATTTTTCACACAAAAAAGCTTTTTTTCTAAATCAATTTCATTGAGATATACTTTATCTACAATAAAATGCACCTGTTGTAAGTGTACATTTCTATGAGTTTTGATAAATTTGTATACCCACATAACCACCACCACAATCTAGATATAGAACGTTTTCATCACCCTAAAATGTTCCTTCTCAGATAATCCCCCTCACTTCAGCCCCAGGCAACTACTGATCTGTCTTCTGTCACTATATATTAGATTTGTCTTTTCCAGAGTTTCATATCAATGCAATAATACACTATAATGCTCTTTTGTGGCTGGCTTATTTCACTCAACATGTTTTTGAGATTCATCCACTCTGTTGCATGCATCTGTAGTCTATTCCTTTTTATTGCTGAGTAATATTCCATTACCTAGATATGCCGCAATTTGTTTATCCATTCACCTATTGATGGACATTTGAGTTGTTTCTTTTTTTTGGCTATTGTAAGTAAAGCTGCTATGAGTAGTATAGACATATGTTTTCATTACTTTTGGGTAAATACATAAGAGTGAAATTGATGGGTCCTATGGAGTACCTGGAGCCCTGGTGGCACAGTGGTTAAGAGCCTGGCTGCTAACCAAAAGGTTGGCAGTTCGAATCCACCAGCTGCTCCTTATAAACCTTGTGGGGCATGTTCTACTTTGTCCTATAGGGTCTCTATGAGTCAGAATTGACTCGATGGCAATGGGTTTGGTTTTTTGGTTTTTTCATGGAGCACCTGGAGCCATGGTGGTGCAGTGGTTAAGAGCTCAGGCTGCTAACCAAAAGGTCAGCAGTTTGAATCCACCAGCAGCTCCTTGGAAACCCTATGGGGCAGTTAGTTCTA